CTGCTCTGTCCTCCAGTACTGAGCTCAGGGGTCAGTCTGGTGTCTGAGCCTCGTCTGTGTTTCCATTAGCAGTCTGTGTGATGGGACACGACCTGCTTAGGGCATTTGCAGATGCCACAAGGATGGGAGAGACACAAGAGGGCTGGAGGACAGGCTGAGATTTCAAAGTGGACTTGGCGAACGGGAGGCAAGGGCTGACAGAAAGGATGCTGTTGCCTAGGAACTTGAGGAAGGTGTTTGGTGGGAGAGGATCACCAACAGCACAGATGTGGGGTGGGAGCACAAGCTGAGCGGGTCCTACCCCAGCAAGGCAGAGAGACCCTGAGGGAGGGCTGTGCCCTGGGACTGGGGGCTGGTTGTGGGGAGCGGGGCTGTCAGAGGGGACCTGCGTGGGAGAGGGAGCAACTTGGTCCCTGCACCATGGTGGCTGGGGCAGGCAGGGATGGGGTTCATCTGCAGCGAGAGAGGTTCAGATCAGAGTTTTGGAAATGGTCCTTGAGGCAGGAGCAGTGACATGCTGGAATAAGGCACAGGGGAGTGTCAGTCCCCATCCCTGAAGGAGCCATGTATGCATCTGTCAGGATTAATGGAGGGCTGCAGAGATACTGCTGTGGGGTGCGTGACCTTGCAGCCTTCATTTTTCCACTTCCTGGATTATTATCTGGCACTGCTGGCTCCAGCTGGGGTCAGGGCTCTGGGATGAGGGCTACGGAGCCGCTGGGAAGGGAGCTGTGCCCCTAGGGGCTGGTGCTCTGAGCCAAACGGCGGGGTGAGGGGTCCCACGGAGGGAAGGATGCATCGCGCAGACCACACAACTGCCGTCCCCGCCGGGCACCGGGGCAGCAGCAGCCCTCGGCGCGGGGACCACAGGGGCATGGCTGGCTGCAGGCATTGCTGGCACAGACCCCTTCGCCGCCAGCCCCTGCAGTTGCTGCCCGGGTGCTGTGGGTACCCACGCTGTGCTGGCGCCCACGGGGCCACGATACGTTTCTCTGCATGTGGGTGCAAATGCAGGGTTTTATCTTGCGGACTTTCCCTCTGCCTTCTTAAAAGGGGGAGTCTGGGGAGCACAGCAGTCAGGATTTCTGCCTCGGTGGGGGAGCGGAGCGGAACTGAGCACAAGCACAGGAGTCATGTGTGTGCCAAATAGCTGATGCTTTGCAACAGAGTATGGATAGTGGGGTTGCGCTGTCTGCTCCTTCTCCTTCCCGCTCCTGATAAATCAGTGCCCAGGGAAATATCACTCATGTTGCCTGTATTTAATAAATTACCTCTCAGCATTTGCACTCTCTGAGGTTGTTACTGAGTTAGTGTAGCTCCAAACCCTGCAAAGGGAAAAGACGCATCAGAGCCCCTGGGAATGGAATAAGCCATCCAAAGCTAGAAACCAAATATAAACCCAGACTATGCAAATCCAGTCTAACGAACTCTGCTGCAGCACAGACATCCCATCTGGGAGTGGGATGATCCACGAGCAGCGTAGCAAAGGGACTGCTTGTTTTAATGACTTTCTTCTTCCCAGGGAGAAATGAGGGGGGTGGTTCTGAAACTTGAAGGTTACAAATGAAAATTCGCTGCCTCTCCAGCAGCGGTGTGAGATTTGGGGTGCTGGGGGCAGAGGAGAGCAGGTTGGATGAACATGAGAATGCTTTCTGGCATTAAACCCTATAGATTAGCAGGGAAAGAGCACGCCCTGCAACTCTGCTTTCAAATCACAGTCCAGAAATGCAACCAATCTGCCAGGCAGCTCCCCAGACACATCAGTTCTTATTGAAGCTCTGCTCCGTGGGGCAGGGCAGGGTGTTTTGCTTCACTAGGAAAGGGCACAGAGGCAGCGGGTGAGCAGCTGAGCAGCAGGGGATCCAGCTTTCTGGGCACAGCAGACTGTAATTTATCTCCATGAGGAACTGAGGGGGATTTAGAGGGGAAAAAATGGCACAAAGTTAAATAGCAGTGTTGCCTCGGCATCCTTACAAATAAGCTTTACCTGCTGTTCATTCCCATCTTGGTTGCAAAGGCCATGATTTACCCGAACAAAGGCAAGGGGGGATGCTGAGAGCAGTTGTCAGGGAGCACGCAGGGCCAGTCACAGAGGGAGCGGGGCTGTGAAGGGGCCCCGGGGCACTGCCCTGCTCGGGGACGGCCACCAGCCCCAGTGCTGGAACACCCCAAGGATGCTCAGTGAGAACGCAGGGAGCAAAGGCTGGGGTGGGCTGGGTGGGCAGCACAGTGGCCCCCCAGGGTGGCTTGTCAGTGGGCACTGCCAGAGCATTCTGCGTGTGCCTCCTTGTGCTGAAAAGTCTTCAGGTTCAGGTTGCTCTATCCCAGAAGGTGCCTGGGAGAGAGGGCAGAGCATGGTTTCCACATGTGGAGGGAATGGCCGTGTCCAGTCCACGGCTCTTTGGTGTTTCTAAGTGTCTCCACGCTGCTTTGCCCATGCTCTGCCTCAGACTGAGGCTCTGGGGTGCCGATGCTCTGAGGACCCCAGAGGTGTCCAAGCCCACCTTGGGCTTTGCAGGCTGAGGTGTAACTCTTGGCTTTCAGATTGAGCAGTTTTTAAATCAAGCCTCTGTGCTCCGTCTGTCACCAGTATCAGGGATTTCCTAACTTCCACTTGCACATTGCAGCTGGAGTAATGTTAGGTATGTTTAAAAGAAGGCAAGATGGGAGTCCTGCTGGGGTCCCTCCCTTGCCAGGAGCTTGGACATGCACCATTACCTCCAGCACGGCCCTGGGGAGCTTCCAGGCAACCTGCTTTGGCAAGGAGCCTTTAGGACATTTGGAGAAAACCATTTCTGACGCTGGGGTTTCTCCCTGCCCTTAGCTGACCCCAAGGCTCTGGTCCATCAGGAGGTGGGCACACATCTGGATTTATTGAGCCATTCCTCCTGTGGTGATAGATGTCCCTAAAATGCGTGACCCACCCCAGTGCCTCATGCCTGGGATTTACAGCCTGGCGGCGGGTTTTGCTCCCCAGGAGAGGGGCGAGACTGAGCCCCACAGGGTGCAACCTTGGGGGTTGGAGCCCCATCCCCAGGAGCCAGATATGCATGCCCTGCGCTGGCCATAGGGGGAACCAGACAAGCCGTGGGGCTGCAGAGCCTGAGTGTGGGTTTCAGTTTAATCGCCGGGGCTGGGGAACCTCTATTCATTCCCCGATTGCATTCATCTGTGTCCTAGTAACGTGCTCTCCCCACCTCCTTCCCAACACAAGGCACACACGGCTGGATAATGGCAGGAGCCTGGCAATCTCAGGCGCTGAATAGCGGTGTAATTACGAGGCTATAATGGCGAGCTGGAACTCATTAGCCATTATCAGCCGTTTCAGCAGGACAATGGCAGCACCCCGGGGTGCGCGGCGGCGCTGGCTATACCCTGCGGCCCTACACGCTGCTCCGCGCTCGGAGGTCAGCCCGCCGCTGACCTTGGCCCCTCGCACGGCCCCAGAGCCTGGTGGAGCAAGACTTTGGCTCTGGATGGGAATGATGGACTTGGTATTCAGCAATTCATGTGACTTGGGGTATTCCTGCTCCCCAATATCGCTGCCGGGACTGGGGTGGTTATGGTGCCCTGGGTGCTGGGGTCCTGCCCAGGCACCGCAGCCTGCTCCAGGGTGGCAACTTTCTGCCTCTCTGCTGCCCTGGCTCCAGCAGCTCATCCTTCCATTCGCTGCCTCCCCCTCCTGTAGTGTATTTGTTTCCTCTTTATTTCTGTGTCTGTATTCAGTGCGGGCAGTGGGTCTCCAGCGTGGGAGCCCTCCCTGGGCCACGCGTTCTCCTGGGCATCCTCCAACCCTAGCCCACGCCATGGGCAGGTTGGCCTCGTGGCAAGGAGCAAACACTGCCGTGCTCTGCATTGCTGAGGGGGAAGGTTCTCTCCTGCCACGCGGAGCTGCATGGGGACCCCCGACTCTGCAGGCTGTGGGTCCCAGGGCTGTTGGTCCCCCTTTGCCTACAGTGCTCACAGCCTGTAATGCGGAAAGGCACTGCAAAGCTGAGGCTGTGAGGCACAAATCTCTGCAGCTTGTGGCTCATATATTTTAAAGCAGGATAATTCTAACAGGGGCACGCTGGAGAGTGTGGCAGGTGAGATCTGGGGAGGTATAGCCAGCAAGCTGGGAGCAGGGCCCCTGCCACGTGTGGGTCCAAGCAGTGGGGCACACCTTGCCCTGGTGCTGAGCAGAGCCTGGGCAGGACAGCAGCCATAGGGTGGGTGTAGGCACCCCAGGGGCTGCCCTATCCCCTTATTTCCACCAACGGGGTGAGCAAGCTGGGACAGCATCTCCCTTCTGGCTGGAGTGCCTGTCCCTGCATCCACCCAGGGCTTTTGCATGAGAGAGCAATGCCAGGAGAAGCAGCTTGTCCTGTGCAAGCGTCTCTCAGCAGGTGAAACTTGTGGTGTGGCTTATTTTCCAGGCAGGAGGTGTGAGATGGCTGCGCACTGAACCAGTTGTGATGCATGTGGATGACACACAGCTGGGTATTTGGAGGGATCCTGTTCTTCTGGGGGACAGCTATTTGCTTTCTTATTACCCCTGCCCTCTCTAAGCTGCTCTGTGTGTTTTGGATGACCCTACCAGGTGTTGGCTGCATTTCCAGAGTGGGGTGATGATGTGATGTGCCACCAGCCAGGCAGCTGCTGGCATTGCTGGGCTGCTTTTTTGCATTGCTGAGGGCTCAGGGGCTTCTGTCCCAAGGGGGGCATCCAGCATGAGGACAGGGAGATGGGGGAGCTGGGCAGCCCCTGCCCCTTGCTGCTTTATGGTCCATGAAAGATGCCATCCAGACTTCTGTGTGCCCAGTGCTTCTGGCTGATGAGGATGAGGATCCTCTCCAGAGCCAGCAGCCAGCCTTGCCGTCCCCAGCAAGGAGCACAGAAATGCAGCAGCCACTTCTGTCCTTCGGGCCCCGTCTGCCCTTTTTGGGGAGCTACTGGGGAGACCCAGTGCCCAGGAAGCTCCTGAGAGCTTCCTTGCTGATCTCTGCCTCTTCTCTCCTCAGGGAGCTCAATGGCAACAACATCACACGGATCAACAAGAATGACTTTGCCGGGCTGAAGCAGCTCCGCGTCCTGTGAGTTCCCAGCGAGGGGCTGACTGCCCTGACCTTGGTGGGCGCTGTGCTTGTCTTGTGGCCCCTCCTGGGGCTGGTAGAGGTTATACTGAGCCCTTTGCTGAGCATCTGCCAATGGGGCTGGAGACCATCCACATTGGGCTGAACATGGTGGGCTTCCAGCTGGGAGGCAGTGGGGAAAAAGAGGCTGGGTTGTGTTGAGGGGATGGTGGGGGTGAGATGGCCCTGAGTCCAGAGGAGGACTTGGGGACACTGCTGGTGAGAGGGGGGTGCTGGGGACCATCTTCCTGGGAAACTGACTCCTTCTCTCTGCAGGCAGCTGATGGAAAACCAGATCAGCACGGTGGAGCGTGGGGCGTTTGATGACATGAAGGAGCTGGAGCGGCTGTGAGTGCCTGGGCGCGGAGGCGGGTTGGCGAGGGGCTGCTGGGTTTAGTTGCAGAGAGCATCCTTTCCTTTTTGCCTTAAAGCATAATGTATCGGTCCTGCCTGACTTCAAACAGCTTCTCTGCTGCACGGCGGCAGTATTTTACAGTGTGGGAAGCAAACCTGTTTCTGTAGATCTTAGAGTCCTTTCTGATGCTTTTGAGGTGAGGGACAGGTTAAACACAAATCACTCTCACTGTTATCAGCTGTGTCCTGTGTGTTAGTGAGGGAACCATAAGTTCCAGTCCAGTACTCAGTAAAATAGCTCAGCAGTTTAAAAATCCTGAGCTGCTTGAGCAAATATGAGGAGCTGAGTGAGCAGCAGGTTAACAGTGCAGTTAAGCAGCAATCAGCAGTTAACAGCTTGGAGTCCTGTCTGCATGTAATTACAATATTGTGAGTAAGTCTCTTAATGTCCCGTCGGTTGCCCCCACCTGGGGGTGTGTGAGCGGGACAGGGGAGTCCTTGCCAGGTGGGATGCTCTGCTCTAATGGCCCCTCTGAGTGAGCCAAAGCGCCTCGTTTGTGCCTGGAGCTGCCAGCTGGGCTGCAGGGAGGGTGATTGCTTTGCCCCAACCCCCCCCCACCCCCCCCCCCCCACCCCTAACCCTGACCCTTTCCTCTTTCCCTGCAGACGGCTGAACCGTAACCAGCTGCACACCCTCCCCGAGCTCCTCTTCCAGAACAACCTGGCACTGTCACGGCTGTAAGTACCCTCTGTGCCCGCGGGGTTCCCCTGCCCGTCTGTGGTGTGGGCTCACTTGTGGAGCTGCTTGGGGCTGCCCTGGGGCTCGGAGGGGCACTGGCGTCCTGGGAGGGTGCTGCTTCTGGGAGGGGGGGGGGCTGTGCTGGTGTCTTGTCCCAGTAAGGGCCCAGCGGGTGGCCGGGGAATGCACCCTGTTTCTGAGTGACCTGAGCATACAGCGTGGCAGGGAATTGGTTTTGCCTTGCAGACTTGAGACTGGTGCTGTTAAAGACTGCCCTAAATGTCCTCACAATGCACGGGGATGTGGAGCGAGCCCAGTTTGGGCTGGGGCTGGCATCGCTGAGCTGGGCTGTGCCTCCCCGGTGCCAGTTGCAGAGGCGCTGCGAGTCCTACAGCCTCCTCTCTGGGTGTGGATCGCAGGCTCTGGAGCGGGGTGCCCTTACCCCCTAGGCTGGGTTGTCATGAAGGGAGGGCAAAAGAGGGTGCCCCCAGTGGGTCACATCCTGCCTGGAGAGCCCCATGGCTCCACTCCAGGGCTGCCTTTCTGCCAGTGTCTGGGGTGGTCTAGGGAGGGAGGGAGAAGCCTTGCCTGGGGCAGATCCAGCCATTTGTGCCTGCTGCCCCCTCTCCACACAGCCCTGCCTGCCCCCATCCTGCAGAAACACCCCCAGGGACCATCTCCTGTTGTACAAGCACCAGCTCTGCAGACCCCTCTTCCCTGTGTGAAGCAGCAGGCTGCCAGGGAAGGGCTGCTGGGGCTTTGATAAATATTCTCTTTTCCATATTGGCTTTCCCTTGCCTGGGGCTGCTTTGCTCGGTGCTGTCAGCATTGTTCAAACTGCAGGAAATCCTTTAACAAAGCATTTACCAGCTCTTGGCCATGTTGGGCACCAGGTATATTGGGAATAGGGCTGTGAGAGGGAGAGCATGCATGCCAAACTGGGGTTGGGTGCTCTCCATCGCTCAGAGAAGATGCTTACACCCTGTGACTGATTTGCAGTGCATAGGAGCAGAGCAGTTGTAGCCAGGACGCGAGCTCTCTGCTTACTGCATCTTGTATCTCCGTTTCTCAGCTGTGAAATGAGGATGCCAGGTCCCTGCTGGGGCCGGGTAGGAGTGGATGAAATAACTGAATGGGCTGAAATGTTGCCAGGACAGGCATGGCCATGTCGGGGCCAGGCAGCCCTGCCCGCACAGGCAGGCTGCGGCTGAGCCGTTTTGCTCAGCGACGATGCCGGTTTCTTCCGACAGTGCCAGGGAGTCAGTGCTGGAGTCCAGCCGGAGGCGGTGCAATGAAGGGTTAAAACGCCGTGTGGGTTGCCAGTGTGGGATGTGTGAAATGGTGGACAGGCGCCAAAGATGAGCCTAGGTAATGGCAGCTGATAGCACAGGCGTTCAATTAATTATCAAATGGCATTTGTTGAGCTCAGCTGTGCAGTATCGTGGCGCCAGCAAGGGCCCATCCTCCTCTAGCCTCCCATTGCATAACAAAAACACGGTCAAGAGAATTATTTTACAAACATTAATGTTTCCGTTTTAACCTTCTCTGGAGTTTAATACCAGGCTCTTTCAAAAAGCAAACCCCAACGATTCATCGGGGAGATGCAAAAGGGCAGCCCCCTGGGCGGGCTGAGCCGTGTGCCCTGCTGCAGCCCCCGGGCTCACGGGGAGCCGGGGCTGTGCCGCGGTGTGCACAGGGCTGTACACTCCCTGGCATGGTGTGCACGGGGCTGTACATACCGCTGTGGGTGAGGAGAAGGGTATGTAAGATGCTCTTTGCATTCACCCCACATCCAGGTGCATTTCAGCCTCTGCCTGTTGCTTTATTGTTGCTTGCCGCGATGTGATGGTCGTTTCGAACCTATTCCCTCCCGTCCTGCCTTGAAACTGTTTTCTGGCCATCTCTGCCGTGACAACCACTCTCTGGACATCAGCACCCGGAGTGTTTCTTGTGCGATTTGGGGCTGTGTGCGCAGGCTCAGATTTTGCAGCCCCTCTGCTCTAGGCAGTGCTGTGTCTTGGGGTGCTTTCATGCACACTCAGAGCAGAGGGTCCCTGTGACGAGCTGTGGGATTGGGGACACACTGAGCTGCCTGCCATGCTTCTTTGCACCATGTTGCCCCACACACTGCCTGCATTAGTGAGGGCAGGGGTGCAGCGCTGGGGTCTGCCTGGGGAGCACGTTGGGAGCTGCTGCCCAGGCAGAGCCTCGGGTGCTGCGTTTGGGCAGCAAAACCTTACGTACCGGAGGACCTGCTGCTCCCTCTTCTCACAGCTGACTTGCTGAGATGCTCAAGGATGGTTTGGGGGGGATGGCAGGGCAGGGGGTGCCCAAGGCAGAACTTGTCTAGACACACCGTCATGCTGGCTTAGCAAGAGGTGGGATCTGGACCGGTGCTAGTCCAGCCGGTGTGGGAGGTCATAAGGACGCTCTTAAATTGCCGCAAACCTGGCTCAGGCTACAGGGATATGAGTCAGTGGGGAGCAGATTTAAGCTAAATTGAAATCAGCTCGCCTTGAACTGAAATTGGAGCCTCTCCACCAGGCTTTCTGCTTATTTAACTGCTGAAATGGATCTGGGGTGACCCTGATGCTCGGTGCCCTCTCCCTGCCCTGGAGGCAGGCTGGGACACATGCTGGTTGGGATGGGATGGGAAAAGAGGGCTCTTACCATCACCAGGATCTTGCAGATCCTAATCTCCAGACCATTTCCAGTGAACAGTGCCTGTGCAGGCTTCTCCTTGCCCTGCCTGCTGTGGCCACCCACGGCACACTCCTCTTGCTCCTGGGGTACCTGCTAAGGCATCATATCGTAGCGGGGCTCTCGCCTCATGATACTGAGAGGTCTTGAATTAGCAGAAACTGGCTGAATGAGTTGGACTGAGTTCTGTTTAGCAGGGAAATGAGGCTGCCAGGTCTGGCAGGTGGGTGGCAGCTGGAGCAGAAAGGCAATGGTGGACGCAAGAACTGGTGGGCGTTGCATAGATGGGTACCTGGGTGCTGGCCGGGATGCTTCAGCCTCTTGTAAGCCTTAGTCTCTCATCTTCAGCAACACATCATTAACATGGCAGCAGGTTAAGGCAAGTGTGCTGAATGTGAGGTATGTAATACCCATAAAGCAGTTTTCCACTGCACCTCAAGCCTCATGGAAGTATCTCACAAGCACAGAGAGGAGGACCTTGGGCTCGGATCAGGATGGAGAGCTGTTTGTCCGCCTCCTGGGTCTGAGTGTCAAAGCCTAATCCGTGTTGGTGGTGCTTTGTGGTCTCCCAGCCCAGCTCAAGCTGCAATTAGTTACTCAGATCTTGGCTATAAAGACCATTTGTGCATTGGGATAATGGAAAGGATTGGAGTTAAACCTGATTCGTCAGGGTTTAAATAAACTGGGGAATGGCAGGAAAAGGCCAGTGGAAAGCAAACCTCAAATGAGGGCGTGGGGGGAGGTGAGATGCCTGGAGAGGAATGTTTTCCCCTCGGTATTTGGGAATATTGAGCTGACGCCTGCCGGGAGCCCGTCTGGGTCTGAGATGGGGAGGGGGAGGCTGTGCCAGCAGTGGGACTGGGAGGCAGGAGGACTGTCCGCACGGCCGCCCTTATTTATATCCACCGCAACCAGCGGATAACTCATTAAGCTGTCCCAGTGGCTGGAAATGGTGCTGATCTGAGGTTTCACTGGAGAGCGCCTGACCCCAGCGACCCCATCTCAAACTGGGTTTAATTAAACTGTCACCACTGGACGGAAGAACAAAGCGTGGTGGGCTTGGGGGGGGCCAGGGTCCCCCCCCCCAGCTCACTGGGGAAGAGCATGTCTCCTGTGAGGTGGAGAGCTGATAAAAAAATGGATCTTTCCTTCCATTGAGGATTACCCAGGCAAGAAGGTGACCTCTGCTATTGCACTGCCCAGTGCTGGTCCCCGGTGCCCCGCAGCCGTCAACATCTTGGCTCAGCACCAGTGCAGCCCTGCAGCATGCTAGGAGCGAGGGGGATGCTGGCAGACGTCGCTTCAGCATCTCTCCCGAGCTGGCAGGAGTTGTTTTTTCCCTTGTGAGGGGGGACCCAAGCCCTTGTGTTTCTCTCTGCATCCTTGGGAGGGATGGGGGAAGGATGGGAGAGGAGTTTTGTAGCCCTGTCTCCCCTCTTTCCCCACCTTGCCTTAAAACCTCCTTCTGAAGCCATTTTTAAGCCCCTTTGGGGTGCTGGGTGGGGGATGCAAGGAGGAGAGAGGAGGCTGGGGTGGCCATAGCAGCAGGGTGAGAACAGAAACGCTGCGGGCACATCGTCAGGGAGGCAAAGACGTGGGCTGTCGAAATGTGCTAAAGGCAGCCAGGATGGCTATAAATAAATGGTTTTCTCCAAGGGAAAGCCGAGCTGGCGCGAGGGAAGAGAGGAGCGGTGGGCACTCAGCAGCGGGGAGCTCTGGGGAGGTGCTCCCCCAGGGGAGAAGGGGTCCTGGCTGGGATGCATCCCCCCCTGGGAGTGGCAGCTCAGAGGTTTCCCTTGTCAAAAGCCACAGCAGCCACTCCGTGCTCGGCAGAGTGGGAGCTGAGAGAGGATGAGCAGAGAGTAGGGGAAAAAGGTCCTGTCTCCAGAAGGAGAAAGATTTAGGACATGGGTCATGGCCTGTCGGTTCCTGCCAGACCCGTGCCAGCAGAAATGGTGGAGGAGACAGAGCCGCGTCCGCCCTGGCAGCCAAGCCCGGGGAAGGGGCCGGCGGTGCTGCTCTCCTGTCTGTAAGGGCAGGGGCTCCCTGGAAACAGCATTAACATCTCAATCAGGACCAGTGTTGGCTTTCTGAGGCAGAGTGGGGACACAGGAGGTGATGTAGGGGCTGGGGAAATTGTCATGCTGCTACGAGACTCTCCTCCTGGGGCCAGAGCCCGCAGAGGAGTTGTGATGCTCTGCACTTACTTCTGCCTGAGAGCTGAGATGGAGACCAGGGGCTGATCCAGACTCACTCTGGACCAGGGGTATTTAAAGAGCTGGGTGATGAGGGATTTTTG